TCTGCAAGAGAATCCCCTGTTTGGCCCTTCTTCTTCAACGTAAGAGCTGATCCATTGCTTTCCTCCAACACCTATGTTTCTGATTTCATGTTTTACGTTTCTGTCTTTAGTCTGTCATGAAGCATGATCGCACCTTGGTGTTTTCCTCACTGTCGGTGTGTCTCTACTTTCAGAAATACTTGCATGCATTTACTTAAAAATTCTTCAGCTATTGGAATAATCTTGTGCTATCGAGCAATTGATTTGAGAAAAGTGTGTTGATTTTTGAAGATTGACAAAGATGGGAGCTTTGAAATGGGATAGTGTTGTGAATCAGCACGAGGGATGGAGGCTTGTGTCTTGCATATGGTTGCATGCTGGAGTGATCCATTTGGTTGCAAACATGCTGAGCCTTGTGTTCATTGGCATTCGCCTTGAACAGCAATTTGGATTTGGTACGAATATATAATCCCGCTTTCTGCGAAACATTACCATACTATGATAACATTCATTTGGTGGTAACATTTTGTTTGGCTGAGATTTTTTTGCAGTGAAGATAGGAATAATCTACCTGTTGTCTGGATTTGGAGGGAGCGTGCTGTCTTCTCTGTTTATCAGAAACAACATATCAGTGGGTGCTTCAGGGGCTCTTTTTGGACTTCTTGGAGCAATGCTTTCTGAACTCATCACAAACTGGACCATTTACACCAACAAGGTAGAAGAACCATTCTAATAAGTACCAACTAGAAGGGGGAAAAAACTGTCACACTTTATGAGACAAAATTCCATTATTAATCCCAATGGGCATTAAGACAGACACTTGAATTAGCAGCTTTAGTACTGAAGATCTGAACTTTGTGGCATTTTTTGTTTTGTTTGTTTGCAGGCAGCAGCATTGGTGACACTAGTGGTGATAATAGTGATAAATCTTGGGATAGGAATACTACCCCATGTGGATAATTTTGCACACATAGGAGGATTCACGACAGGTTTGTTGCTGGGTTTCATCTTGCTGCCTCGTCCACGGTTCGGTTGGGTAGAGCAAAACCATCTTCCTGCTGCTGCACGCCTCAAGTCCAAATACAAGCCTTACCAATATGTTCTTTGGATTATCTCTCTCGTTCTTCTCATTCTTGGGTAACATCCTTTATCTCATCCTTTTGCATAAGATCACGTTATGATTTAACATTGTACAGATCATAGCTGATGTGGTGGCTGAACTCGATCATGTCAGGTTAAGCATTGGGACGGTGATGCTGTTCAAGGGAGAGAATGGTTATGATCACTGCCACTGGTGCCATTACTTGACTTGTGTCCCAACTTCAAGATGGAAATGCAATGAATCTTGAACATTGCTGTACTTGTGTTCATCCTAGCTTATACACAAACTCAGCAACTTTTATTTGATATCTAGTTCACATTAATTAGCCCTTGCTTTATCTTACAGCAATTATGTGCGCTTACGTGAAGAATTTATTTGTGACCTTTGTTTTTGTAAGATATCAATAAAGAGAAATGTTAATTACGTTTGCTATCTCAATATTAATATTATTGTTGTTATTGTTGGGGTAGATCTAGCGTCAATTTATCATTTGCACGTCTATTCATTATGGGGTAAACGTCTCAATTAAAAGTTAAAACTGACAATGACGCAAGTGTAACGTTTTCTAATGCTAAAATGGGTGTGTTTAAAGTTGGGTTGACGTTTCGATTTTGACAATTCGAATCAAATTCAAAATCTTAAGACCAGTTTTACTTCAAGCCCAGATGAATACTGACGTATATTCTAAGCCCAAGACAAAAAGGAGTCTTATGATGCGGGGCAAAAGAATCCAGCATAACACATATAATTGGGTTCAGGTCCGGTCGTCACCCAAAAGGATCAAAAGGAAGTGGGAAAAACAATACTCATGTGGCGTCGCCCGGACTCGAACCGGAGACCTTCAGTGTGTTAGACTGACGTGATAACCAACTACACCACGACACCTTGTTGCCAACATGCGCTTTGCATCTTGTTAAAACAGAAAATTAAGAGTAAAAACTACCTGCCAATAAACGATGAATCTGACCGAAAGGTTCATAAAAAATTCATGGTTGGACTGCAAGCTTCACATTGCACACCAGCCCAATAGTTCTGATCTAACAGCATTAATTCAACTCTTGAAACACTTACATGCTCAATGAACTTGCTGCTAAAAAGGATGTTATTTCCTAAGCAGCAGAAGATTATGATATGTGTAGCAGTGGTGTTGGTGTGGTGGAGGAGGAGCCCACTAGCCTAAGTCAAGGGAAAGCCCGTGTTGTGACTTGTGAAGGAAATCGCAGAGATTAGCGAGGGTGCATGAATGCTTCATGGGCTTACCCTTCACCTATAACCCTAATGCCGGTTAGGTTTAGGATAGGCTTTAGTCTATTCACATTAACTTTTTCTTCATTCGAGTCCTTTGCCTTAATGATTTGAGCCATGAATCATGTTTTCGGGGGCTATTCTGATGAATTTGTCTTGCTAGTACTAAGGAGTTGTTTGGATAGAAACCAAACTATGGTTTCAGAAGTGTTTTTACAGTTTACGAAATAAATATGTGAATGAGTTTATCTCGTTTTACGGAAAAGTGTTTCTCAAGGGTTACCAAACACCCCCTAAGACTAGTAAGAATCATTGTTTGAAGTGACGGTCTAAGCATGAAAAAACAGCTTTTAGGCTTACAAGTATGTTTGGATTAGCTTTTAATATATCTGAAATATGACTGGAAATTGCGTTCAATCGTGCGATTTGATGAAGCTATTTTTGGCTGTTTTTTGTTTTTCTGATCGAGCTTTTACACTAGATTCCCTCTCTTCTCCCTTATTTTTTGTCGTGACATGCTTTTCCTTTCCTCTTTGCAATAGATCCGTCTTCCCTTACATATGCATACGTACTCATTTAACATAAATTTTTTTAATAATATTTCTAATTTTTAAAATTATTTTTATTTTATATTTACATAAATTTTGCACAAGTATATCATTTAATTAATTATATAATATTATTTAGTTTAAAATTTTTTCACAAACATCTAATATAAAGATATTTTATTCATTAAATTTAACTTCTTCCTATTAAAATAATTAAAACTATTATATTATGTAAATTGATTTTTTTAATTTTTTATTATTTAATAAAATTCATACCTATTTTAGTAATTTCACAAAGTAAACTTGCTTATTCAATCATAATCCAAACAAACTTTATTTTTACAAACTAACTTATTTATAAAAATTAATCTAAATATAAATTACATTAACCAATATAACTTTTCAAAAAGTCAAATTGAAAATAAGTTACTTTTTCTACTGCGAATCCAAATGGACCCATAGTCTTTTGATTTTTGGATTTGAATCTCCTCCTGGACAGTGGACACACACAAGCAAAATAACGGTTTAAAATAGAAGAGGAGGGTCCAAAATAATGTACAAACGAAAATATTAAGAATGACAGTATCTGCTTCCTACTGACATGCCTTCTGTGTCCGTATATAAATGCCGCAGCTTCCTAAAGAAGCAGATATATCGAAAGAAAGAAGGCTATTTGCAGCTGCAGAGACTGTTTTCTGGTTTAAACTTGTGGGATTTGAATGTAAATTAGTAAATTACATTAATTTGATGAACAAGAGCTACAGACTTTAGAACTAATCATTTTGATTGTAAAAAAGAAACTTTGCTTCATTAAGTTGCCTTTTTCAGGATACATATGTACTGCTATTGCCCCACCCTTTGGGTTAATTACTTTGAGTTGATGTTAATCAATTATTATATGCTTGGTGATAGCTGGATTTGTAGACTAGGGTCACACACAGACACACCAATCTCAGAATTCCTTCAATGAATCAAAACAATGTTACTGATAAAGATTTCAATGCCGCAATATATGTCATGTTTTACTCTTTTTACTATTGTGATTCACGTTCGTGTGATATCCTCTTCCTTTAATTTGTAAAGCACTTTCTTTACCCCGTTGGACTATCCCCACGTGAAGAGCAATTAAACTAATCATCCATGATTAAGAATCTCAAAAGATGACATATCCATGCGCACTCACATTCCTTTTTCATTTCCCCCCCTCCTCTTTTCTTTGTAATTCTAGCTTCTTATGATTAGACCATTCAAATTTCCCGACACTCTCTTTCCGGTTGTTTAATTTGTCCATTTTTTCTTCCAAATTTAAGGCACATATGCTTTTTATTGGTATGAGCTTCACATCATTAGCCTAAACTTGGCAAGTTCTGGTTAGTTAGAATACTATACAATATCAGAGCTAAATAAAATGATTTAGACATGATAAGAGGCATATGATGATACCTGAGAAAAGAAGCAATAGAAGACAAAACGGCGATAGGTCTGATTGGTGAGGGGAAAGAAGAATATAAAGGGAAGAAGAAAGGAATGTGAGAAGGTGAATAAAGTAGAGAAGACAAAACAAGGAGGTGAAAGAGTCAGATTTAAGAGATGCTACGAACAATAGGTGACTTATTCTCTTAAAATTAGGTTCATGTGACCAGTCTGTCTTGAGGTATGTTGAGTTGGCCTGTGCTTAGAATCCAAGGAGAATAAAATAGTGTCAAATGTCACTTCATATCTTTGCATTCATTCTCTTTTATCCTTTTGTTTCACGGTTTCTCTTCTCTCACAAAAAAAAATGGACCACCGAAAGCAACCACCCTTCAATACAATAGGAATAAGAATACTATGCAGATCCATTTGTATATATTGTATCACACCAAAAACCATAACGTCTTTCTTGTCATCTTGTATGAATTATATATACCTGCATTTTTTTCCAGTTAAAGGGAAAAACAAAATTTAAAGAACATGTAACGTTACTTCTCCAACGGTAAAGTTTCTCCCTTGAATTTGTTTGTTCTGTTCATGCGAATAATGGACAAAATGAAAGAACCTTCTGCCGCGATGACAAGAAACACAGAGGGAAGTGGGACTCACATATGTGAAAACTTCATATGGATCCTTAATTTAGAGAATCAAAATTTCAGAAAATCATATAAATGTCCATCGGATTATTGGAAACAATCGACATAAATACAAACCAAACTAAATTCAGAAAGTAGGAACCAATACATTTATATCATCAACCCTCTCAACTTTCTTAATAAACTATACCGATGCAGGTCAAATAATTACATTCCCAAACCTTCTTCCATTTCCACCCCAAACCACAAAAAAAAAGAAGGAAAAGAAACAAAAAGACAATTTATAATATAGAGATAGACAAAACTAAACACATACGTACAAATTAAAACAAGTTAGGCACACTTCTCTCACCTTAACATGCTAATTATGCTAAAATCTTGGTCGGATCTTCTCCATTTCCTTATTTCTATTCTTTGTAGGTTTTAGAGAGAGATAGACATATAATGTACAGAGCTCAATGGGTTTCATACATTTTATATGTCTGTCTCTCTCTGAAATTGACAAAAAAGTTAAAAGAAGAAAATGTTGAAGATCCAAATTTCAGGTACATAAACACCATTTATCAGGAATAAAATTTGATGCCTCCTTGAGAGTGGTTAAATTTATTGTGTCACCTTAGATGGCTACTCAAGACTCTGTTGAAGCGGCTTGAAGATGTAGAACATTGGCTTTTGAAATCAGCAAGCCTATCAGAATTATTTCCAGAATCCCAAAGCCTTTGCCTCGGCGCACTCACTGATCTAGACTTGGCTCGAGATGACTCGGTGTTGGCCATATAGTTTGGGTGACCAAAGTAGCCACACTCACTCCTTGTGGGGGTGAAAGGACCCGTTCTTCTTCTTGAAGCAGAAAATGACTCTGGACTGTTCTGATATGAATGGGCTGAGAGTTCTTTGCTGTTCATCTCTGCTGTTCTTGAAGCTTTCTCTTCTTTTCTCTTCTGATGAAACTTGAGGGAACTGAAGAGACCTTGGTTTACACTGCTTGTTGAACGCTTTGACGGAGACTCATATGCCAAAGGATTCTCGTTCTGGGAGTTCAAGCGGGGCTTCCAAGTATCAACTTCGAGAATTTTATCACTCTTCTCATCATCTCCTCTGGGATGGTTCCACACATTTTCTTCCATCCAATTGTCGTACCATTGCGATACAAACCTTGATCTCCCCGAGCCAATGTCCCTGAAATTTGCATTGGAACTGCATCTCTGCAGGTTCAATCAGAGAAATGCTATTCAATTAGAGAAATGTTTGAACCTTCCTTCAAATTAAAGTCCTCAACTTGTTCAAAAATTCTTTTTGTTTTACGCAGTAAAAGATGATGATAAATATAAGTTACAGAGCAGAAGCAAATGCCCATTAAGGGACAAAGAGACCAGTCCACACCGACCCCAGCTTTGACAACGATAAAATTTAATAGGTTCAGAAGAAGACACGTTTTAGTCTGATGACTCATTTACAACCAGCATTCGAAGCATCCCATTATCCAGTATGAGTACCTTCAGAAGAGGAGATCCTTCAAATTTAGTACTATTGGCTCTAAGTGAGGTTCCATAATGTTCAGAAACCTGCAATTAACGTAAAACCATCAAGGTTAAATCAAGGACCACGCTCAAATCACCAGCTTGACTTGCGGAATTTAATGACCTGACTTGGCACGAAAACAAGCTCGAAAACTTTGGATAAGATTATAAACAGACATAAAAAGATGTAAATTGCGCAAAACATGGTTTCTTACAGGGTGATGAGAGAGTGGAGACTTGGCAGAATGGAGAATATGGGACAACTGCACGCGACCTGCACGTGCACGGGACTGCAGCCTCACCAAAGTTTGCATGCGCCTCAGCATATCTGCTGTTTGCTTTCTTACGATGTGACCTCTTACCAACGCTTGCAACTTCACCAATGCTTTTAGTGCTCTCAGAGCTCTCTTTGCCTTTCAAATCCAAACCCTTTTGTTAACTTCAGTTTCCAAATAACATTCCATGGCTTGCCATGATAAAAATTCACCCAAATTTCCCAATTTTAAGATAAATAAATATTTTTACATTTTCCTTTATAATTGATTTGAGGATGTTTCTACTTTTAATGAAGTGAAAAAGAAATGAGTACTTGCTAACTTGCCCATCACTCTCTTAATGCATCATTTGGTGATAGCAAGCCTAACCACCACAACTCTGGTCCATAACCTACTAGACATAGTTCATCATGATTTGCATAGGACCAACCAATCTTTTACTGCTATTAAAAAATATGTAAAAAATATAACTGAATTTTTTTAAAAAAAAAAAATCCTTGCACGGTCCTGTTCCATAATTATACAAAATATCATTTAAAAGGACCGACCTAGTTTTGGTGTTTTTTTTTCCGGAAGAGCCACTGTATACTTTTCCTGCTCCAAAGGAAAGTATAATTCGTGGGGCTTTATGATTCTCACCCTCGTTTCCTTTTTTTTTCCCCCCAAGTTTGTTATCGTAATTGAGACCTCAATTTTATCGTCTCTCACAATGAAGGGCTCATACTGAACTCAAAGGAGAGAAAAATGATAAAAACGAACTTATATCTGTCAAAAGAGAGAAATTCATATGAGTAACTTCATAAAATATTGAGATATATTTTTTTTAATTTTAAAGCGTAAATAGAATGAAGAAGCAGAAAAGCAACACGCAGTGAGGAACGATGACAAGTGTTTGTTTCGCGAGAAAAACTAAGAAAATGACTTCGGCCAGGAAAACAGAGGATGAAATCAAATCACGTACAAAGAGAGTCAAACAAATTTGAAAATACGGCTGACGTGCTATGGCTGCATGTTGATCCGAACTTCAAAGTTGAATCCGGAAAACCAAGCGCCAAAAAATTCTCACAACCTCGGGAATAGTACTTACCAAGTAACCACGAAACGCCGACTGTATCTTAACGGCGGCGACGTCTTCCGGCCACCGGTGCTGGCTTGTGCTAGGACCGCCACCGCCATTCGTGAGTCTAACCACCTCCGCCGCTGCATGAGCGGCGGCAAGAGCGGCCTCCGCCACGGCCGCCGTCGCCGCAGCCACTGCAATGGCATGTTTATTAGCGTTCAAGGAATCACCGTATGGCAGCGAAGAAGTGGAAAGGTCGGTGTTATTGAGATCAGAAGTAGCACTTTGGGATTTGTCTTTGCTGCGTTTGATGAATCTCCATCTCCGTTTACTCTTGACCGGTTCAGAGCCGGACTTGTGGGAGCCTTCGGATGGAGAGGCCGGCTTTTTGCCGCCGAAAATTCGCCGAAGGAAACCCATATCTCATTGGAGGGCGGGGGATTTCAACGAAATGGTCGGGATTTTGGCCGAGAAGAACATAGTGAGAGAATTGAATTGGCAGGGAGAGTGAGAAGAGAAGGAATTTTGCTACTACGAAGGAAGTAACAGAACTTCGGTTACAGAAGCGAGAAAGAGAAGGAATATATAGCTGGACACTTGGGGAATGGGGATGAAAACGACGCGGGAGTAAAGAGAGTGATCATCACGCGCGACGCCATGTTCTTTTCCTATTGGTGCAAGTTTTGTCCTGCCGCTGCCCGGCTTCATTTGGGTGGACTGGGAAAGCAAACCAAAGATAAGGAAAAATTGCAATATTATTTCTAATACCGTCAAATTACTCTCTCTCTCTTTTTTTTTTGGGGGAAAATTCAATGCGAAGAATTTAGATCTATATCTGTTTTCTACCATATTTTGAACTATTTTTCTTGATTTTTGGAGTGAGTGGATGAGAACTCTCTTATCCAACACTCCATTAGTTACTACCTAACTTTCCGATGCTTAAAATCATTTCTTTAAGATCATTATTATTATTATTATTCTGTTAGGCTTCTTGTAATAATGTATCCTAGTAATATACTTTTTCAGTTTTTAATATAGGACCTTATTTTGAATTGATTTTAGTTTTAAATATAAGATCTATTTCTTACATTTATTAATTTTTTTTTAAATTATCCATTTGCATAGTCTCTCAACTATAATTAAGTAGAAGAGGGATGGATGATATTAACAAAGATGATTATAGTGTTTTAAGAAAAACATATCATATTTCTTATAATTAACTAACTTACCTAACTTTTTTAATCTAATCAAATTAGTTAAATAGATATTATATTAAGAATAAGAGAAATATTACAATAACATATGGTGGTAGTATAAATCGAGGCTGAAATTAAAATTTTATACAAATAGTTAAAAAAATGTGTGGAATAGAAGAAGTGGTAGTGAGAGGCAGGTGACAACGTATGCGACAAATATTAACGTACGAAGGTGGACTGTGATGCTTGCTCGCAGCGGCCTCTTTCCACATAAACGACAAATATCGAATTATAATTTTTGAAAAAAATATATATAAAAGAAGAAAGTAATGAAAATTAACCTTGTGTGACCTTGATGCTGGCTTTTCTGTATCGTCTGGCTGATTCTATTCCTGGCAAAATGCTATCTATTTCATATTTTTTTCCCCCTCTAAACGCATTCTCGCTTATGATTTATAAGTACCACTCAGTATTTGTGTAACTTTTTAAAGAAAACTACGGACAATGTACATTTTTCCGATGTACCATTAGCCAGTGAATAGTTGAAAATACTAACTCTGATATTTAATATAAAAACTAATTTGATATTTTATTTAGTTCTAAACATAAGCCTTGATATATTTTATCTATCATATTTATCTATTTTTTAAGATAATCTTTATAATAGTTACACATGTTTAATGTTTCATCAAATGGTAGTTCTAACTAATATACATGATTAGCACAGGTATTTTGGAGAAGACAACACTTATTTATTACAAATAACTAACTTAATTAATTTTTTTAATATATCTAAATCAGTGAACTAATTTTTATATTAAAGATTAAAAGATACTAAGTACATATACATGGGACGGTTGGGAGGCATTAATAAGTGTATGGGCGATGTATTGATGGATGTCACTTGCCAACGTGCAAAGAATAAATAAACTAAATGTCACAGCTGACATATACATTATATAAATATATATTTATACATAAGAGAGAGAGAGAGAGAGAGAGAGAGAGAGAGAGAGAGATGTTAGGAAGAGCTTTTATTTAAAGAGAAGCTTATGGAGTTATGGCGACTTGTATATATTGTTTTAATGACAAAGGTTAATGTTCCTTTGGCTGGGGATGCTCATCAGCCGATGCATTACTAAGCTTTTTGAGCAAGTTTTGTAAAGGTTAAATAGATCAATACATGATGATCTCTTAGCTGTATATTCTGGTTCATATATGTAATTTGATACTAAACATGAGATATTAATCTATGTAATATCCTCGTTAAAGGAAAAATGTTTTAAGGATAATAAATAACTAACTTGACCCTCTTTTTAATTTATGTCATAAATAATTAACTCTCTCTAGTTAACAAGTTAGAAGAATATGTTGATCCAAAATATTAGTTAAAAATAATAAATATATAAGATATATACATAATTTTTTTAAACTCTACTCTTATTTGTAAAGAAAGTACATGAAAGATAATAAGTAAACATTTGTTGCGGAGAAATAAAAAATGATACATATTTAATGGGTCTAAAAGTACAAAAATTAGTTCAAAATTTTAGATCAAGAAAATTTATTTCTTATATCTATATACACCACTATGAGAGAAATTGTTTCTTATAAAAGGAGACGAATGAAGAATTATTTTTCTCTCTTCTTCATAACCTCATTTAATACAGGTAAAATGGAAAAAAAAAATCAATTTAAGACATATTAATGAGTTAACAACTATTTCTTAGTTTTGATAAACTAAGTAACTTGTGAACAAAAAAAGTATATACTACCTCTAGTCCTTAATATAAAAGTTAGATAATTAATTTATAAATATTAAAAAAATTAGTTATTTGTATTAAAGAATGTTGTCTTGTTAATCATGTATATTAAAATAAAAATCCTTTAACACGTGTAATCACTATGAGGACTACTTTCAAAAAAAAAAAACATGGGAGACAAAATGAATTAAAATCGTATACTACATCCTATCCTAATTATAAGATCATATTTGTAATCTAAATAAAATCTTATAATTAGAATAGGAGGTATTACTGATGAATCTTTAACTAATTCTTATATTTTGTATTTAGAATTAGAGGCAGTATAAATGAATATTTATGGATCTACCAAGCCGCGTGCAGATGCCAGTGATGCCACTCTTGATACTGACAGCACCCAGCAACAAATTAATGAGGCATCCATATGTCTCACCCAACTCCCTCGTTCTTCTTTTGGCTAATCTCAAGCCTCCACCATACGTCTCACCGTTTGGCACAATCATTCTCTCGTCTCTTACGAATGTTGTCTTTTATCTACCCAACTGTCTTTTAATCTTAGGACTTGGGGGTTCCATACTTCCATTTAATAAGTGACCTTTTCCATTCATAATATTCACATTTTTTCAGATATGGGACTTTTAATTCCTACGCCTACCCATCAACATGTAATTGTTAATTCATTAATATCTTTATCAACATGATTACTTACTGCTTTGCTAATTCACATACGACAATATACTCTTTGCATCACCGAAATAAAATGTTGGAGTTTCACATCAAACACCGGTTGGTGAAGAATGCATCCACCATACTCCAAATTAAGAGAATATATAGCTCTCATCAATTAATTCGTTGACTTCCTTTCCCTCAGCCAGTTTACAGGAATTCAACATTTTAGTTTCTACATTTATTGCCTCGCACCTCGTCCTTTTACCTTTATTGTTTCGACATAAGTACTCCTCTTCGGGAATGTCTTATTTCATCTTATTTATAAATCATATCATTAAATTTTTAGTATTAATTTTTTTTTACATTTTATTTAGATTTTTATTTGTTAAATACATATATTAAGTCAGAGGACAGTTGAAAAATTAGATTTCAATATAGAGTAAATGAGGTTTTAAGTCTTTTTTTAATTGGGCAAAACATAATTTATAATTATTTTGTCATTTTCATTGGGTTTTTCAGGTGCGGCCACAGAAGAAACCCGGAAATTTAAGATAACCAACAAAACAGCTACTGCCTACCAGACTTAAAACACATTAATTATGGTCCAACTTGAACCCAGACAGACAACTATCTATTGACAATAACGGAATATTTTTCCCAAGTTAATTATTCACAGTTATAGTTTTCCCCAACTTTCCAAGAATTAACACATTTATAGTTGTATACAATACATATTGCTAGGTTAAGGTATTGAAGAACTTCAAAGCAAAGGAATGTAATCAATCTTTTTTTCAAATCTAATGCAATGATTAGGCTGTTGAGTCACAACTCCAATATCACACAAAAGCATCCTTAGCTATAATCGTACCATAAAAGATCTGCACATTTAAAACTGAATTAGCTTTTTCCCCCAACAAAATTTTTTTTGTCCTGTTTCTTGATTCCGGAGAGAGGAATAAATAAGAAAAATGACAAGAGAAGATTGAATTAGTGGTGGTTAGAAGGAGAAGGGGCAGTCCAATACTTCTTAACAGCAAAAAGGAGCTTGTGCCTGTGAAGAGGGCCATCTTCATGGTCCACAATTTGAGAGTCCCATTCCATTCCACTGACGATTCTCTTTAATTTGAGCAACACATCCACGTCATCCCTAATTATCACACTGCCCTCTGGCCTAAGAATCCTATCCATCTCTAACACTACGTCTTCCATCTCACATCTACACCACAACATGCCCTTTATTATGTGTGGCTCACAACACAAAAATAAAGTACAGCATCAAGAAAGAAAAAAATAATGATCTTCGCTTCAGGTTTTGTAATTGCATCCCAAAAATCAACAAGTAATTACACATTAGTATGGACTTTTTATGAACATGTAATTATATACTCTTTACATCTACTCTTGGTTTCGATGGGAAGAAAAATAGAAGAAAGGATACTTGGAGGGAAAACTTCAAATAATAGTAAAATAATAAAAGTAATATTTTTAGAAGTTTTCCTTCCTGGTATTTTCCTTTCCTTATTTTCTTCCCGTTCTTCCCTCCATTCAAGCCAAACCTTAATCAATATGGACTTTTTCATATGTTGCAGAATGGGGAAGAAGAAAAGGGGGGAAATAAAATGAAGGAAGCAAATGGAAAAAGAAGAGAAGATGGAGATGAGGGATTATTTTCAGACTGAAAAAGGAAAATGAAAATAGATATTTATATTTTATATAAATAACATTCTGAAAATTTTATCTTAAATCTGATTTTCTTTTTCAAAAAAATGAAATAAACTTTCTTCAAAAAAAGTGTTCCGAGGGTTGGTTGAACTTTCTCCGTTCTCTCATTAAAACGTGCTTTTGGCTTGCATCAAGTGACTTGATTTGATCTAAATTAAAAAATAAAAAAACGTGCAAACCAACCTGTT